TAGATGGCTTCAGTCTAGATAAACTTTAATATAATAACAGATCATAAAACAAAAAAAAAATTATACATAAACAAAAACAATGATTAGTGATGGGGGAAAAGCAGTTCATCTTTTATTTTTTGTTTGGTTAAGTTTGGTAGCAGCCATTGCACTTACAATGACTAAGGTTGATTGTTGCTTATTTTAACTAATATAACCTGGTGGAAGTAATCTTTCAAATCGTTTTCGAGAATAAAGAAAATTGACAGCTTCTAGGTATGTCTTTCAATTATCTTATATATACTATTGAGTATTGAGATTACATAAGGGAAAAAATCACATGTGTCGATCGTAGAGCACTATGATTTGTAATGAGCATAGAAGAATTAAATAAAAAAAAAATGTTAAGAAAAATTGTGGAAGTGCCACAAAAACAAAAATAGACTCAAAATCAAATGTTTGTCCTTTAATATATATATTAGATTTTGATCTCGCGGCAAACACGAGATTAAATAATTAAATAGATTGACTAATCAATTTTAATATATATAATTTTTTATATTTAAACATTTGACAAATTATATAATTTATAATATCTATAAACGTACAAAAATGATATGTATTGTGCATAAATATAATAAAATTCTATACTTTTGATCATATGTTAATGCAATTATTTAAAGATTTTTATGTGGAAAATTAATCAAAACATATGCAAATGTTTAAGTGTAAAATTGATTTTCACTATTCGTGTAAATTATAGAGAATACGATAAATCTGATAAAATTTAGATTTATATGAATTTATTGGATATAACAAAAAAATAATAATATATGTTTTCTAATAATGAAATGTATAGATATTTGTAAGTGTGATTAAATATGTAGACTACATCATAGTAAATTTATTTGTATAGTGTACTAATCTAAATACATATATACACAATAGATAATAATGTTATTAATATGATAATGAAAAATTGTTAATGTATTAAAAAAAATTAAAATAGATGATATGGTAAGTCTAAAATGTTAAATTTAGTTGGATTTATATTTTTAAACATATTTTAATGGGCTTATTGTAACAATCGTGAACCAAGTTCTATGAATTTTGGTCGTGCGTCGATCGATGCAGGTAGTGTGCGTCGATTGACGCAAGGTTATATTGAACTGACGATTTTGGTTTTAATCGTTCGGCTTGCGGCTCGGTTTAGGGAAAACCCTAGGGTGCGACTTAAGTCGAGGGGACACGGATTGCTGCGTTTTTCTGAAAAACAGAGGGTTTGAGAGAGAATTGAGAGAGATGAAGAATCCTTATGTGTTCTTGTTTCTTAAAGTTTTAGAGGCAGTTCTATCAGGTTTTAGAAGAAGAAAGTAACGGCCAGTAAGAACATATCAGATCAGAGTGAAACTTTCAGGTTAATTTCTCCACTCTCTGATCTTGATATGGGAGAAAACGGTTTGTCAATCGGATGTGTATTTTAGGAGTTATCATTGTTTGACTGTGAGAGGTTTGTGCAGTTTCGAGACTGCGATCAGTCCATTTCGAGGGAGTATTTCCGTCGAACCATAAGGAGTCAGAAGACGATCCATATACCGTTGGTTAGATCTCTTTGTCTAGTTTTCAGATCATATTTCCGATCCTGATTATGAGGTAATCTCCGTTCTCTGTGTGCTTTCGAAGTTAGCGTGTCATTTTTTCTTCTGAAACCCTATTTCGGTTTAGGGGTTTTTGGAGAAAGGATCGTGTTTAATCCGTGTTCTTCGTGGAGGAAGAAGGAATCCGAATTGGAGAGTGTTAGGAGTCTCTGATTTAGTTGTTCTTCGTGTTTTTGTCTCTAATTCATTCCGAAA